ACACGGCCCTGTGCCAGGTGAATTGACCGACTTTGATATGTCGGCTGTGGTGTTTGAAGCCAATTTGGTGGATAACCCAAGAGAGTGGTACATTGATACTGGTGCCACTCGTCATGTGTGTTCCGACAAGGAGGTGTTCTCTGAATACACTCCTGCTATGGGTCGGAAACTACACATGGGAAACTCCTCCACGTCTGATGTGGCTGGAGTGGGCACGGTAGTGCTGAAGCTCACTTCTGGAAGGGAGTTGAAGCTGAAGGATGTTCTGCATGTCCCAGACATCCGCAAGAATTTGGTCTCCGGATCACTTCTTGTTGAGCATGGATTTAAGCTAGTGTTTGAAGCTAAAAAGTTTATTCTTAGCAAATATGGAAAATTCCTTGGTCGTGGTTATCTCGACAATGGATTGTTCAAAATGAATGTAATGGCTGTAAGCCGTGTAACCGTTGATAATAAAAAGCCTATTTCTGTTTATACCGTTGAGTGCTATGATGTATGGCATATTAGATTGGGACATGTAAATCTAAATGCGATAAAACGGTTGATGAAATTAGAATTAATTCCTAATTCTAAAGTTGATAAAAATACAAAATGTGAAATTTGTATTGAAGCAAAAATGGCTAAGTTGCCTTTTCTCTCGGTGGAAAGAAGTACTGAACCATTAGGTTTAATCCATACTGATGTATGTGATATGAAAAGTGTGCAAACAAGAACCGGTAAAAAGTATTTTGTAACTTTTATCAATGATTGCACAAGGTTTTGCTACTTATATTTGTTAAGAAGCAAAGATGAGGCTGTGGAAGCATTTAAGATATATAAGACCGAAGTTGAAAATCAACTCGGCAAAAGGATTAAAATAATCCGAAGTGATAGGGGTGGGGAGTATGTATCTCCTTTTGAACAAATATGTTCTGAATATGGCATAATTCATCAAACAACGGCCCCTTATTCTCCACAGTCGAACGGTGTTGCTGAACGCAAAAACCGTACGTTAAAAGAAATGATGAATGCCATGTTGATTAATTCAGGATTACCACAGAACATGTGGGGGGAAGCTGTTTTGACAGCAAATCATATCCTGAATAAAATACCACCTAAAGGGAAAGATGAGACTCCTTACGAAATGTGGAAAAATCGTAAGCCGTCTTATAAATACCTGAAAGTGTGGGGGTGTTTGGCTAAGGTTTCAGTACCTGAACCAAAACAAATGAGAATCGGGCCAAAGACGGTCGATTGTGTGTTTATTGGATATGCGTACAATAGTACAGCATATAGATTTCTGGTTCATAAATCAGAAAATCCAGAGGTATCTGTTGGTACCACGATTGAGTCAAGGAATGCTATATTCTTTGAGAATGTTTTTCCTATGAAGGAAAGGGCAGAATCTAGTTCTAGTAAAAGAACGTATGAAACTGCTAGTGGTTCTGTACCAGAGGGTACTAATGAAGAACCGAGACGTAGTAAAAGGGTAAAAACGGCTAAAACGTTTGGACCTGATTTTATTACGTACATGTTGGACGATGAACCGAGTTCCCTTAAGGAAGCTCTGTCCAGCCCAGATGGACCACTCTGGGAAGAAGCTGTAAATAGCGAAATTGAGTCCATTATGCAAAATCATACTTGGGAGTTGGTTGATCTCCCTGATGGTTATAAACCTTTAGGATGCAAATGGATCCTAAAGAAAAAATATAAAGCTGATGGATCGATTGATAAGTTTAAAGCACGTTTGGTGGTCAAAGGCTTTAAACAAAAGGAAGGGTATGATTTCTTTGATACCTATTCACCTGTTACGCGTTTAGCGTCGATAAGAGTGCTTCTCTCGATTGCTGCTTTGCACAATCTTGAGATTCACCAAATGGATGTCAAGACGGCATTTTTGAATGGTGAATTGGAAGAAGAAATATACATGGAACAACCTGAAGGGTTTGTTGCACCTGGACAAGAGAGAAAGGTGTGTAGATTGATCAAATCCTTGTACGGACTGAAACAAGCTCCGAAACAATGGCATTTGAAATTTGATGACGTGATGTTGACAAATGATTTCAAAATCAACGAATGTGATAAATGTGTTTATGTCAAGGGTACATCAAATACATTTGTGATTGTATGTCTATATGTAGACGATATGTTGATCATAGGGAGTAGCCATGAAGTGATCATGGATACAAAAAGAATGTTGAAAAGAAATTTCGACATGAAAGATATGGGTTTGGCTGATGTTATTCTTGGAATAAGAATTATCAGAATCCAAGATGGAATTGTCTTTTCACAATCTCATTATGTAGAGAAAGTGCTCAAGAAATTTGATACCTATGACGGTGCACAGTCTAGGTGTAAGACACCCCTTGATCTCAGTATAAATTTGGAAGTCAACAAAGGTCAACCAATGGATCAGTTGGAATATTCACGGATAATAGGGAGTCTGATGTACTTGACGAATTGTACACGACCAGACTTGGCCTATCCGGTGAATAAGTTGAGCAGATTTACAAGCAATCCCAGTCATGAGCACTGGAATGCTTTAAAAAGGGTACTTAAGTACTTGAGGTACACCCTTGAATACGGGCTCAAATACTCGAGATATCCAGCCGTACTTGAAGGGTACTGTGATGCAAGCTGGATATCAGATTCGAGAGATCCTCGCTCCACTAGCGGATATGTTTTCTGTATTGGAGGAGGTGCAGTTTCGTGGAAATCCACAAAACAAACGTGTATAGCTCGGTCAACGATGGAATCGGAGTTCATCGCTTTAGATAAAGCTGGTGAAGAAGCCGAGTGGCTTAGAAATTTTTTATCCGATATTCCATGTTGGGATAAGACTTTGCCGCCTGTGATGATTCACTGTGATAGCCAAGCTGCTATTGGTAGGGCGCAAAGCAACTTGTATAACGGTAAGTCTAGACATATTCGTCGTAGACATAATACCGTACGTCAGTTGATCACAAATGGTATAATTTCCATTGACTATGTGAAGTCTAAGGAAAATTTAGCTGATCCTTTGACGAAAGGATTGAATAGAGATCAATTGACAGTTTTGCTAGAGGGAATGGGCTTAAAAATCCACAATGTAAAGAATGATCATAGTGGTAACCCTACCATGCTGAGTGGAGATCCCACGAACTTGGTTCAAAGGGAAAACTAAGCTGTGAAAATTCAGTTGAGCACTTGGAACATATGAATGTCCAAAGCTATTCCCTAGAGCACTCCAAGTGCAAGATAACCTGTTGATTGTGGTGAGGGTAAGTCATATGGACTTTTAATGAATCCCTAACCTTGTAAAGGTGGAGTATGGCATGATACTCTTGACAGGGAGGTCACCTATATAAATGTGAAGTGTGGGCCGCTTCAAATGTAAACACTTATGAATCCATTGTGTTGTCCATGGCCAAAACGGACACAACGATAGAACGGAATGGAGTTAAGACTCTATTATGTGAATGTCATTGTCTTGGTGTACACTGTGGAAGAATAGTTCAAGGCATTATGTCCACTAGGCCGCCAGTGCATTCGATGATGTTTACTAAGAAAGGTTCAAAGCCAAAAGCTACCTTTTCTGATGCAATAAAGTCTTGTGAGGATTGAGCATAATAACCTATTAATATTTACACTTTTGTGGGGGAATGTTAGGAAAAAGTGTAATTATTGTTGGGGTGGTGCCACATGCAGCCGCCCCATTTGGTGAATTAAAATAAAATAAAAAAAAAAAATTGCAATTGGAGTAAAGGGGCGGCGCCGCTGACAGGCTGCCGCCCCATGTGTTTAAAAAAAAAAAAAAAAATTGCAAGAAACCGCGTGGGATTAGTTGGCAAATTGGCCAGCTTTATCAAATCTCCCTCTATAAATACTTCATTCGGGAATAGTGAGAGCAAAACAGAAAACACACAAAAAATAGAGAGAAAGAGAGAAGAAAGAAAGTGAAAGGAAAAAATAGAAATATTTATGTCTAAATATCGGATATAAAAATATCAAAAGAAAAGAAACAAGTGATATTTTTATTTGTTTCAGAATATTCCTTTTATTTTAAAGTGTTCAATTCTCGATTCCGTTCCCGTTCGCCGGTGCTCGTAAATCTGGTGTGCTACAGATTTAGAGACGTTTGTCGTTGTATCTTTGGGGAAGTTACGCCTTAACCGTTAGCAGCCACACGGGGCGTATTCTTCTTGCGGAAAGAGTTTTTACTCGCCTCGGCTAAAATCTTTCCGTTTTTAAGTTGTATTTTATTTTTCTGTTCAAATTGTAATTTTCTATTTTTAGATTATTTGTAAGAACTGAAAATACATATCAGTTCGTAGGATTCCCGTGTAATTTTGACACCAAATATCCAACAGCAGCGTAAACGCACAATTTATAGTGACAATCCAAAAGGTGAGTGTTGTAAATAAGTGAAATTGAACCACTATACAGAAATATGAATAGTGAAATGACGGGCATGAGTAGTAAGATGATGCGGGTGATCTGGATCGTGATGGCATGAATATGGAGTGACCAAATTATTGTGTAAATAATTTTGTGAAGGGTGAGTAGAGGTTGCCTGTAAATGGCAACCCAAAATGAGGTGGGAAGATGCATTTAAAAAAAGAATTAAAATCCGATTATAATTTACGTTTGATTTTCATATTGAGTTCTTTATTTTCTCCGCATTTATAACAAAATAATCATATATCTAGTCCAACTTAATTTCCACTCCAACATGTTCGTCTCCTCCCGAGTCCATCATTTAGAAACTATAGGTCCATTGTATCATATTACTGCACACAATGTGACAACAGTTTGTGAGACCTCAACAACCAAAATATTAGTCTTTTCCTACACAAACTATATTGGTTCTATCTATAAATACCCACCACACTTTCTTGGATGCTCGCCCAAATAATAGAAAACTAAAAGATCCCAACAATTAACATTCCCCAAGCAAAGCTCTCTCTCTCTCTCTCTCTCTCTCTCTCTCTCTCTCTCTCTCTCTCTCTCTCTCTCTCTCTCTCTCTCTTACACACTGAGTAATGGACAATGTTGATGATGAATATATAAACTACTGGGAAACCAATAAGTTCCTACAGTCCGAGGAGCTCGACAGGTAATTCGAAATGCACGTATATATAATTTTATTATGATCATATTTTTCAATCCTTTTTTTGGGATATTTAGTAAAACGGGAGTGTTGTCAAATTAAACGAGCGGTCTTGATGAGCCGAGCTCGAGCTCATTTAATGCTCGTTGGCTCGGCTCGTTAAGGCTCGAAATTAAAGAGTATTCTCATTAAAGCTTGAGATCGAATTGTTAAGGCTCGAGCTCGATTTCTGGCTCGTTTATAGGTCACTAATAAAGTGATGTTCGTTAATTGATTGGTGCAGTTGCTACCTAGACGAGGCGGCCATATCTGCCGGGTATTACGACTCGAGCTCGCCGGACGGGTTGCAGTCAAAGAACATAGCCTCAGAAAGGATGAGGAGAAAAAGGCTGAATGATAAGCTGTATGCACTAAGATCTGTGGTCCCAAACATTACTAAGGTACTCACTCTACTCATCAAATTAATCTATGCTTTTCTTTCTGCTCAATTATTGTCCTTATAATTACTTTTGATCAAGACATAAATTGGACACACACACACACACATATATATATATATATAAGAAAATGCTACGGTCCCGCTAACCATAATATCGGAGTTTGTAGTCGGTAGATCCACTATCTCTGACGGTTACATGATGATCTAACGATTAAAAATCTCGAGAAAATGGTTTCATAACGGGACCGTAGCATCTTCCACATATATATAAGGGCCCCATTTGGATTAATTATGTATACTTAATTAATTAGTTGTTACATGATATATGCAGATGGACAAGGCATCAATCATTAGAGATGCAATTAGCTACATACAATTACTACACAATGAGGAGAAAAAGATTGAGGCTGAGATATGTGAGTTGGAATCAGGAGGACAGGACAGTCATTTTGCCACCAATTATGTACTCAATAATAATTGGTCTAATGAGGAGCATCCAATTAAGAGAACAAGATTTGACCATCCTATAATAAATTGCTCTAATAATAATTCTGCTTCCTCTGGATTGCTCCTCATGCCATCTCCTATTGAACTTCTTGAGGTTTAATTTAATTCTCTCTCTTTTTTCATAATTTAAAAAAAAAAAATTAAAAATTTAAAATATATTATATTTATTTATTGGAAAAAATAAAATAAAATAAAATATAATTTGGTTGAGTTGAAATTAATTATAATGAAATTTTTGTTGTGTTTGTTTTGTAGTTAAGAGTTGTGAACATGGGGGACAGGACAATAGTGGTGAGCTTGACTTGTGGTAAAAGGGCAGATACAATGGTGAGGCTATGTGAGATGTTTGAATCTTTGAACCTCAATATCATTACTGCCAACATCAACACTTTCTCTCAAAAGCTTTCAAACACTCTTCTCATCAAGGTATATATATAATCTTCTCGTTTTCCCTTCCTATATATTAATTCAAAACATGTTAGAGCTTGTTAAGTGGTAGATTCTCATGTGTCGGGTGCTGACACGACGAAAATCTATGTTTCGTAATGTAGTTTATTAATAACTATGGATGACTCCATAAGTCGAGTCATCTGATTGCTTCATAGCAAAACCCGATTGTTCATCGTTTTCCCCCAACTTCTTATGGACTCACAAGTGATATTATAACAGTATGTTTAATAGATAAACATTCCAAGGAGATATTGCATATATTTTTATTTTTATTTTCTTCTTGGAAATTAAAGCTAATAGCATTATTGAATATATATTGAATAAAAATCAACAACCAATATCATTAATAGATGGCCAGCCCCAAACTAATGAGAACATAATTTTAAAATATTTTTATGGGAACATAAAAAATTCAAAATATATAAATTAAAAAACAAGGTTTAATTTTAAAATATATTTGGCATATAAGTTACATCCCCATGACACATGTACTCATGAAAGGTTATTTATTGCTGACATCAGCCCCAAATATATATTTATTCACTGCAGAAAAATGTGAAAATGACTGGTTTTGGAGACTAATATTAAAACAATATAATTATTTGAATGGAAAATAAAAAGGTTTTCCCCTATAGACTTATTTGGCACTAAATCTCTAAAAAAGATAGCTTCACAAATCAGCTACTAATTATTTAATTAGTAATATAAAGATATTGATTATATTAATTTAAAATTAACATGTGGTCTTAATTTAATTCTTTATAATATTTGTCTGCAATTTATAAGATATATGCTAGAGTCCATTTGTTTCACAAAATTGTGGTGGGATCCATCTTTTTACTTTTATCTTTAACTATGGAAAGCCTTATAAAGTTTTTAAAATATTCTTTCTTGGAAACTTACAATGAAAAAAAAAATAAATAATAATAATTTTTTTTTAATGAACTTCTCTTTTATATAAAACATCCGCAATTTTTTTTTTAAAAAAAAGTTCTTAAAAATTTTCAAAATACATTTAAAAGAAAAATAAAACACCCGCAACTTATAATACTCTCTTACATTAGATATATAATATATATGAATGTTAAAACGAAGCTCTGTCAAATATTGATTTATTTCATATCATACATATAAAACTTAAAAAAAATAGTTATATAACGTTAAAATATTTAAAATATATTTTGTAATTTAAATTAGTCAAATATTTTTATAATTTTAAGAAAATGGTTATATAATGACCTGGTAGACAGCTCACACATACTTGTCAAAAATGGATATTTAAGAGCATAATTGGGTACACAATTAAATTGCTATTTAAATACATGGGGTGACATGTTTAAATTAATGTAAATAGATACATTCATTCAATTATTAAAATAATGGGTCCCACGTTCAGCATTCAATCAACTATATATTTTAACCTTCCAATAATTCTTTTTTTATTTTAACTAGTATTCATCCTGTGCACATGCACAAAGAAAAATAAAATTTATATATTATATTTATGTATACAATATATAAAAATTTTATATTAGATAATTAATGTATTACATTTTAAATTTTGACTAATGCAAATGTGTAATGTAAATATAATTTATTTAACTTACGCATGAATCTTTATATTGATGCCATAAATTTTAATGGCTAATATAATTTAGTAATTTAAAGGGACCATACAATTATTAGTTAGAAAAGTATTACAATTATTTTTATTATTGTTATAGCATTTGTTTATGTTGTTTTAAGGTGTTTAATTATGACACTCATGTCAGTTAATTAATATTAGATAACAATCGCTTAAAAAGAACAAAATATTTCATTTTAGAAAAAAAGTATTTTAAAGAAAAAAATCGCAATACAATTTTTTATAAGTATGTAACTTCTACATACTATTTAAAGTAAAGTTGTAATCAATTAGTGTTAGTAGTGAATACATTATATTCAAATTATTATTACACTTTATTAATGTAAAATGTAACGGTTCTACATTAATTAAAAAAATGAGCGGGAGAATGAATGGAGGTTTTATTAAATGTTTTATTAAATGATATATGTCAGCAATTATATATATATATAGATTTAATAAATAGTGGGTCTCCTTATTATATTTATATATATATATTTTAAGAAATTGGTCATCTCATTTACGTAGTACAAAATCGATTCTGTAGATTTACGTGGCCCACTACTATCATATAATTCCTATTTACATGAAAAAATGTCACGGTCCGAAACATTTCGTCGAGTTTTGTAATCGTTAGATTAACTATTATTGACAGTTAAAAAATGATCTAACGGTTGCAACCCGACGGAATGATTCCATAACAGGACCTTAGCATTTTTCCCTATTATATAGTTCAATTGTTAATTTTTATTTATTAATATATTTAAAATTCATTTCTGCAATTAATTGTTATATTTTTATTTCATGTTTTGTAGGGTGATGAGGAGAAAGATGTGTTGAGATTAAAGATAGAAAATGCAATAGCATCTATCAATGGCCCAGACAGCCCTATGAGCATATAAATCAATTAAGCAATCAGTTTTTTTTTTTTTTTTTAATTTTTATGATTATTATTATTATTTTTTTTTTTTATTTTTTTTTTGCTCTCCTTTTTCCCCTACCAGAGTGCATTCATTAGTGTATGTGCACCAGTTAGTTACCTGTAAATATTATAATAAAAATGTTTATGGTGCCTTCTGCATTTTGCAGTTCTTAGCTTGTAGAAGTATCCCTCTTTATTTGATTACGTGAATTCTTCTTATCATCCTCTCCTCCAAAGAAAGCAAAACCCTCGCCGTCTTCCCTCAGATTTGTCGCCGTTAGCCTTCCACAGCTGCCATCAAGCTTCGCCGGCGGTCGTCGGCCTTAGCCGCCAGGATCCCACCCCTTATTTTCCGCTCCACCTTCCTTTTTCCATGGTTTTGGGCCTCGACTGTAGCGGTCGGGTTTCGTCTTTCCGGCGCCGTTTCGCGAATTTAGGTAGGTGGTCTCTCTGTCATGCGGTGGTGGAGCCGATGTACGATTTCAGGGGTGGGGCACGGCTCGATTGCTTAGTTACCTTGGTTCGCTGGGCAATTGGGGCGGCGCCACTGTTCAATATCTTCACTCTAGGCTCGGTCTTTGGGTCGAGGGGGGCCGAAGCTTCAATTTCTTCTTCAGTGGTGTTGGTAGAGATGCTGCAGCGGAGGTTTGTGGTCTTGGGTGGTGTTCGGGCGTATTGGGGTCGGGGCTGGGGTTGTCGCACTTTATTGTCTGTTTCGGGGCAATTCGGTGTTGCGGTCGTGGTGCGGGTTGGCCTGCTGTGGCTCCAAGGCTGGGATTTCGACACCGCTAGGCAACCGAGTGGTTTTGGCAGTTTCATCAGAGTTTCTGGCTGAGGGATTCATGGTCATCTTGGTTCTGCTGGTTCGGTTTGGTGTTGCTGCTCTGGAAGGGCTCGTTTCTTGTGTAGTTTTTTGTTTGTTAGTAGTTTTGTGATTTGTTATTTTTTTTCTCTGTGTTTTTGGCCTCAGTGAGCCCGGGTGTCAACTTTATGATCCTGTTGGGATCCGACACCCGGGTATTACCCTGTTGGGGTTTTTTCTAGTTGTTGTTTAGTGTAGTTGGGTTTTCTTTATTCTAGCTTTGCTAGTCGGGATTCTAGGCGGTCTTCTGACCTGTCCTCCCTCTTTTCAGCCGTTGGTTGCTTGTATTCGCACATTTGTACACTTTTGATTATAATACTATCTATCGTTTCGAAAAAAAAAAAAAAGAAGTATCCCTCTTTACTATGTAGCGTACTAGACGAATAAAGAAAAGATAACTCTCTCGATAAATTGTTTACTCTTATTCGAAATCGATCGAATAACGTCAAAGAAGATGAATCCTTAAAATAAGGCTCTCAAAACCTTAAGCACAAGTTTGATTTTTACGATGGGATTGGACTAAAATAGTGCAAATGTGAAGGATTGTACTATTTGAATAAATACAATCCTATGTTTGTTATATACGATAAGGATTAAGATAACTTTATATTTAAAAAGAAAAGAAAAAGAATTGTCTTTGTCACCACAATTTCCATTTCCCCCTCTTTTTATTCCGGCATTGTTGTAATTAGATATGTTTTAGGAGATAATTTTGTGCCAAAAACAAATTTTTGGGGGCAAAAGAATAATTCAACAAGGCATGATTAGAATAATCTCACCCTTTACTTGGGATTTATTTATCCCATTAATAGGAGATAAATGCTATTTTTATCCCGGGCTGACCGAATCTCGCGAGTCTCTGTCCACCGAACCAAACGCAGGATTAGACCTGGATTAGCCGGGATATCATGCCTAATCCAACAAAACGAGGCTAAAACTAACTTGTCTGTCAAGACAAAGCTAATAAATATTAAATAATAAAAACAAATATGAAATGCTAATAATAATAAGGTCCTTGGATGGTCCTCAGGCTTGGTACTTGGATGATGGCACGATTGTGGGAGACACCCTGGTTGTGGGCACTGTTCTAAAAATCGGCCTAGGCGGCCGCCTAGGCGGCGCCTAGGCGCTAGGCGGTGCCCGGGCGCCTCCGATTTGCACAAATTGGCAGAAAAAATCGGTCAGGCGGCTAGGCGGCGCCTAGGCGGGCCTAGGCGGCCCTAGGCGCTCCTAGGCGCCCTTGGCGGGCGCGGCGGCCAGGCGGTTAGGCGGCGCCTAGGCGGGAATAGGCGGACCTAGGCGCTCCTAGGCGGGCTCGGCGGCAATTTTTCAGTTTTTTTTTTTATTATTTTTTTTAAATTTTTTAAATATTAATTACATTATTTTATTCTCATGTTTTCTTTAAAATATATTAATTTTATTATTTAGACTTAGGTGTGTCGATTTATTATAAGTTGAGATAGTTTTATTTTGTAGGTAGTCAAACTAAATAAAAAATAAGGTATTTAATATTGATTTCTAGGCCCCGACTAGGCACCGCCTAGGCCCCGCCTAGGCGCTCTAGGCGCTAGGCGCTGGTCGAGCGCCTAGCGGGCGCCTAGCGACTTTTAGAACACTGGTTGTGGGTAAGGTCCTTCAGTTGATCATGGAAGATGGTCCTCAGTTGGGTTTACATCTTAATGTTGATAAAACTGAGGTTTTCTTGCCTAATGAGGATCCTCGGAGCCGGCTTGCTGGAGTCTTCCCAGACAATATTGCTCGACCTCAGCTTGGGGTCAAGGTCCTTGGTGGACCTGTTAGTGTAAGTGATGACTTCAGTTCTCAGCTTGTGATGAAGAGAGTAGCCAGAACTATTGAGCTTATGGATGCGGTTGCTAAGATTAATGATCCGCAATGTGAGTTGCTACTACTCCGTGCCTGTGCAGGTATTTCCAAGCTCTATTTCGCCATGCGCACTTGCCCCCCTCATGTTTTTACTGCAGCGCAGCATGCTTTTGATTTGGCCCTTCGCGCTAGTTTAGAGCGCATTGTTACCGCGTCTGGTCCCGGGTTTGGTGACTGGCAGTGGCGGCTTGCCACCTTGCCTTTTTCGTTTGGAGGCCTGGGAGTCTATTGTGCTGGGGACGTGGTAAATTATGCATTTCTCGCGTCCAGGCTTCAGTCTGCAGGGTTACAGGATAAGCTTCTTCTTCCTTCTGGGATCGCTGATGCGGGCATTACCTTTGGTGATGCTTTGGAGGTGTTTAACAGGGTTGCAGATACTGACCTATTGAGTGCTTCTAATGAGATTGCTACCCCCAAATTCATGAAGAAATTGGCAGATATATATTTCACTCGAGTTACCGATTCGGCGGAATCTGTATTCTCCTTATCTCCTAGGCAAGTGGCCTTGTGGAAGTCGCAACAGGGTGATCACGCATCAGATTGGCTCCGCGCAGTCCCGATTTCTGGGCTAGGGCAAACGATGAATGGTAAGACCTACCGTGCTGTGCTCTGCTATCGGTTAGGTGTGCCATTATTTTCCATGTCCAGACCATGTTCGGCTTGCTCTCGGGTCTTTGACGGGGATATATTTGGCGACCATGCGGTGTCATGTGCCGGTGTTGTTGGCATTAAACATCGCCATAACCTTGTTCGCGATACTCTTTCAGATGTCTGCTTTCGCTCCGGGATCTCTGTTGGTAAGGAGGTCGATATTGGACTCCTTGATGCGCAAGATAGACCACTTCGCCCTGTTGACTTATTACTTTACTCATGGGATAGGGGGCTTGACGTTTGCGTTGATTTGACTGGTTCCTCGCCCTTGACCCAGTTCGGGATGTCTGACTTCGTTCCGGGACGTGTTGTGGTTGATGCCGCTCAGCGCAAACGTGCGAAATATGACGCCTTGTGTGCAACTAAGGGCTATGGATTTCTTCCATTCTCTTTCTCTTCATTGGGGGAGTTGCACACGGAGGCCATCGCCCTACTCAAGAGAATACAGAAGTATTCTGTATCTCAGGATGCGGGAGCACGTGCCGCTCCTCATATTTTCACTCGTATTAGCTTTTCCAATGCTAAAGGAGTGGGGGCCCAGATAGTATCTCGGCTCCCCTCCAATTTCTTGTAATCATTTTGATTTCATATAATAATAATTATTATAATAAAAAAAAAAATAATAATAATAATAATAATAATAATAATAATAATAATAATAATAATAATAATAATAATAATAATATTAAACACTATTCTGCATCATTTTTCCCCGGTTAAGCAGTATTCACCCTCAAATTCCACCTGAACTCGTTGTCGTCGTCAACCGCTGTCCCACACACAAACGTCAATCTCAAATGGAATCGTCTTTCGCCCATCCATTAACCGACAAAGATAATTGCAATAGCCCAAGAAAACAAACAACCTCTAATATTCTTCAAGTTGTGGAGTGAGACGAGTTTGCAAGTATCTGTCATCGGGAACAACATGCTCGGCAACCAAGTGCCTAATCAAACCATCTTCTTTAAAATTGTCATAGAACACATTCAATTTTTTAAGGCTTAAGCAGTAACTCAGTTGTTCAGGAGTTGTCCTACACAAATCATTGTAATTCAATATCAGAGTGACTTGTGTCTGTAGCGTGCCCAAGGATTGAGAAATTATCCCACCAACATTCTCCGTGAAATGCACGCTCATATTGCGTAAAACATTTGTGTAATCCCAAGAAACCATTTTCATGTCAGAAAGGGTCATATATTTCAACGGACCCACATCGCCGCAGATATGTTCTTTAGTTGTTGGTTGCTCCTGATCGAGCATAGGTGGCCTCTCATAGTTGGCGCCCCGCAGTCCCCGACCACAAGAGCACGTGAAAAAAAAATACATAATTTCGACACGTGCATGGTGAAGATGTGGTCGAGCATGCAAATAGTGACTGTATATGTAGTTCAAGTTGCATTTTACAACAAAGATACTTTAGGTTGAAAATCCTAAAAGCACGTATAGTACAAGTTGGACATTATTTACCCTAAAAATAATCATGAAAGTATTAGCAAGGGGAGTAAATTTTTCATATAAATTATATCATTTAACCCATTTCCATCCAAAGTTCAAGACCATCCCTGGTATTGTCCTTGGTACAACTAAAAAATCAAGATTTACTGAGAAACTTCAAATATTTTTCCAATCTACAAGTAAACCCTTAAGATAGTACACACACACACACACCCATCACGATTTTGCATTCACTCAACAAGTAGCCTCGTGAAAATAAGATCTCAATTTCTATTACATCTCAAACTTCATTTCATTTTATTGATGAAATGTAAGGATACAATTAATATAACAGCTGATACTAATGACGAGGAGCAACTAGATGCAAGAATCAACATAACGAATAATAATTTTAAACTTCAAAAAGAGTCCAACAGATATAATGGCAATGGAGAATACAAAAGTCGAAAAATCTCTGAACATTATATTTCAAATACAAGAGCAAACAATACCAAGATGTCAAGGAGGAAATGAGAAGCAAGTTTATTACCATGCCTACTCCCTCTAAAGAAGTAAGCTTTCTTCTAGTTGTTGAACCATTGTCTCTATGGAATGTGTGCCACTTTAATCAGAAAGTCGAGCCGTTGAAGCCAAAGAACGGGCGCTGGACAAAAGACCAAGTAGAATGAAAGAGTCAATAAACATCATTGGAAAAACAAACATAAGTACATAGAACTTCCTGCAAACTCCGGGAAATAGTGATATATTATCATCTTTAACCTGAAAAAGAAGATTACTTTCCCATCTAGAAGATTAGAAACACTTACTTCGTAGACTTTGTCACACACACACACACACACACACACACACATACATATAAAATAATGAACATATAGATTAGACCCAGAAAATATTAGAGGTGGAGGATCAAATTGAACTCTTTTTTCTACATGTTAACAAATTTTGTAGATGAGAGATCTGAAAAGGGTTTCCAGCCAAATTCATGCCAAGAAGGCCAAAAACAACGGCTGAAAACACCAACCTAATTTTTCCCTTCTAGCCGAGTATACTATATACTTGAGTAGTAAATTATGCAAATGTATGTACCTGAACATCATAAAACTTTATGTAAAACCGGGCACTATCAACAGAAAGCTTGGTCTGCAATATCTCGGCGATGGTGGCACTAAGCTTGCCATTGACAGTGGGGCCCAGACCCCCAATGGAGACTAGCTCACCATAAGCAGCTGGTTCTTCCGTCCCCCCGAACGAGATCGGTACACCTCCATTTACCAGTATCATTACGTACTGCAACGAACCCAATCAACAACTGGTTTTGCATAAACACCTAACTGATATGCTGCTAAAGCAAATTTACTGAACCAACAGGCTTAGACAACCACATTTTCTTCAATTAATTTCATAACCGGTTCATTTGCGTAATCGAGTCTCTTGGGTCCATGGCTAAAACCAAGAAAACTGGACCCCATATGAGAATTTGATGACAGATAAATAACGGTTCTTTCAGGAATTTTGTCGAACAGAAAACAGGCATTATCAAAATATGTAATAAACTAAAAAATACACTTGAAAAAAACAGTATTTTGCAGGAGACGTACGGATTCGGGTTTGCCGATGATTTTGGCAACAGCTTTGGTGGCGTCTTTGAGGATATCAGAAGCAACCACGCCATCAACGGGGACGTTAGTGTACAAATTCAAAGTGGGCATTTTACAGTTACTGTGTTTGTTTGGGGTTTTTCTTTTTGTTTCGTTCTCTCCAGTTGGTGAAGTTCACAAGAGAGTTAAAATTCAGAGCTTTATCGAATGAGTGGCTCCAGTTTTCTTCTGAGTTATGAGGATATTCACTATTATTTATTTATTTTTTTTTTTTATTTTGTTGATACAATTCGTGAGGTAAAATTTGGAGATGTCGTTACGGAATCATTCCGTCAGAATTTGTAACCGTTACATTAATTATTCTCGATGTCTCGATGGTTATATGATGATCTAACGGTTACAAACCCTCTCACCAAATGATTCTGTTACATCAATTATTCCCGATGTCTCGATTGTTATATGATGATCTAACAGTTACAAACCCTCTGACCAAATGATTCTGTTTCCCGACGGTTACATGATAATTTAACGGTTACAAACCTCGACAGAATTGTTAAGTACAAAATAGTATCATATCCCAGTAAAATTAATTATTTCTACACATTACTTTTTTCTTTTATAATTTTTTTTCTTAGTTTATTAATACAATTTTTAAAAAATAAAATTGATTATCTTTACACATTTCTTTATCAAATTTATTACTAATTAATTCACACCATACTTGAATCTTTTTTGCCACTAGAAAGGAATACTAAATAAATCGACTTCAATTTATCAGCTGTATAGAATTTCTGTCACCGTTAAACTTTCCTCTAATATCATTTTTGTTTTCATCTGATGTTTTTTCTTCTTCAACAGGCAATTTTTCCCATCAACAAAAGCTTCCATCATATAACACCATAAAACCCATCCATAAAATGCAGATGGAGAATTTTAACATCCTTTTTTTTGGGTTTTAACATAAAATTTGGTAACGAACTGAAATCCCGGTCGAATTAAGTAACAAATACCATACGCTGAACGAACAAAAAGCCACCATGATACGGTAGCTTTAGCTAAATAATGAATTAAAGCACGATTAACCAAAATCGAATACAAACTACAGAACACAAACTATTGCCTCCCCACAATCAATCTGCATGCATGAGAAATAGAGACGGGACACATTTTGACCACATGGAGAAAAAGTCGAGCCTACCAAATTATAGCCTATTGTAGCTGCTGCTATATCCTCCGACCCCCGACGAGCCATAGCCACCATAAGGTTGCTGTCCTGTAAAAGTCGAGGATGGATAAGAGCTGCTGCTAAACTGTGCATAGGAGGACCTCAAACTCGACTCGAGCTTGCTGTAACTGCCGGGAAGTGGCTCTCTATGCCCTCCGATGAAGTCCTGGGATAATACAAATAATGTGTATTATTAGTTTGAGCACAACTTTCCTCACATTAATAGCCGGGGTCCAGGAGAATTATTAAATAAATTAAGGGGTTTGAATGAACATTGCTTCTTCTTGGAGTCCTTGTGACTTGTATGATTTCAGATTATCATCAAGAAAATTCGATTTCATTTCTCACGACTATCTTTATGCTCTTTATTAGTCTTCTTCACTTTATCAAAAACCATCCCCGAGGTTTAGGGTGACTACTGCAAAACTTTCAAATTACTACCAACCCTCCTTGCATTCTTTTCTCCTTGAGAATTTTACACCTCAGGTATTCGAATCGAGACTTTCTTTGTCAGTGAGTTCGATGGGACTGGCTCCTGCGCTAGGCCTACACTAAATAAGGGTGACAAAAGCGAGGTTCGGACCTGCCAAATGGAGGTTTTCTAGTAGGAGGTTAATTACATCAAGCCTAGCCTATATCGCCGTAAAGGCAACAGCTTCTTTTGCCCTTTCAGTAAATCCATGAATTGAATAAAGTACTCCAGATCTTTACTTTAGGTCTACCTCAAAGTAAAATAGAGGACTTTTTTTGGAACCTCCACTGCAAGGAGGAATGAATCTTCTCCAACGCCAGCGGCTGTAGTGCCAATTTAAGATAGGCAAATGCGCTGCTGTGAAGAAGATTCTTGGGGATGTGCGGCTTCTCTCTTGTACAACCATTATTCGATCAAGTGCCCCGTAAAGAGGAAATATCAGAAATCTAGGTGCCACAGATGCCCGTCCGGTGAGGAATTGGAGTTAAGAAAGGAACGAAAGAAAGGATTGAGAATTTTACACCTCAGGTATGGTTTTGTTAGGCAAATACAAACGAGTGGGTGCTTGTAACACTTAAAAGGGTGTTTTATGGAACTTCTGTAGATAACAAAAGGTCTTTGGTATTAGGTTAAAACCTTAGGCAATATTTACACTACATATACCAGGTATCCAGTTCACTTATTATAGCCTCGTCCTCCAAGCATAGAGGTAACCGACCAAACCGCCCAAATAATCGCGACAAACAAGTTTCAATGTTCTAAAAACACGTTGAATATGGTCAATCATAGAGAATCGTCACAACTTGGTACCTGAATAAGTTGCTGTGCAGCTTGAACTTGCGAGGAGGTCCCTTTAATTTCCACGGTAATTTCCTCAGGCAGTCCTCGGCTCTCTTCCACAGTAAGAATGGCACCACTCGTACGCCGAATGTAATCAATGTTGGTCCCTTGAACACCTATAATATCCTCCGCATAAGCAAGAGGGATTTGCATAGTCTGTGCAATCTACACAAGGACATTAACCCTCATAAAATTAGCAACCACGCTCCTCAACAGATAAAATGCACAAAATCAGCAAGTAAAAAAAAAATGACACAAGATGCACGAACCTGAGTCACGACAGGTCCCCCAGAACGTCCTATAGCCACCGAAGAAGGACCCACAAGCCCATGGTCCGATCCATACAAGGAGAGCCTGGAAGGGGGAATATGTGATTCTATGTGGGTTTCGCGGTCAAGATAGAGATCCCTTTTTACAGGTACAGGGTAATCGGCAGTCAGAGAGCTCTGCGAAGTACCCGGTAGCTTTGCTGTGTCTACTTGTCCTCCTCCGGCGGCTGGTGAATTATACTGCAAAAGAAGGAGAAAATTGTTCATACCACAGTCTCTGACCTTGAGTATGTTCGGTTGAACTTCTCATAGAAAATATTGTTCAATTTTTTTGAAGGTGTGTGTGTGTGTGTGTGTGTGTGTGTGTGAGTGTGAGAGATAGATAGGGAGAGAGAGAGAGAAAGAGAGAGAGAGAGAGAGAGAATAATTACAAATTATCATAAAATTAATGCATAAGACAACTTACAAATTATACTTCAGATTAATACTTAACATTTTTAATTTGTAAGTTATAGAAGCACATAAGATCTTCCCAAATCAGATTCGTCAAAAGCCTCCTAGTTGCCAATTAAATCCAAACAGTTTTCAACTTACGCTTTTCTCAAACAAGGCAATAATGCTGTGATCCACTAGAAATTTTCTCAGGTGCCCAATAACAGCTTCCAAAGCTTTAAGAACTTTATAACCTTCCCCTTGTATCTCAACAATTCTTTCATCAGAACTGGCATAAATCGGCATTTCATCTGCAAACGCCAACAAGAAAGGATCATAATTTCGTCTTGAAGTAGAAAATGACCCGTGGCACACAACGAAATTCAAACAACCAATAGCAAAAGTATGCATGCGATACAATTCTATAGTTCGGTTGCAGACATAGTTGTCAGGTATTGTCACCATTGAAGGGATTTCTTGGTTTATTCAGCCACTTCAAATTTTCTAATAAAATATATCTTAATAAGCAAGCTCAATCACGTGATGATTTAGGGTTAGTGCGTTAAAAGGAATAGCCAATCAGAGCAAGTAGCTTTCCCAAGCACGCAATGAAGCATGGAAATATGATCGTGTGATATAAACATATACTGATACCATTAGAATGCACACGGACAGAAGCACCAGTATTTTCCTGGATAGATTTTATCAAGGAGCCTTGTTTTCCTATTAAGCTTATGGCTTGTGTTGATGCCACCAGCAACCGGATTGCACAAAATGAAGTCCCAGCAGTTGCTGTGGTTTGACCATCACAATCATTTTCAGGCAGTCCATTAACACGTTTAAATATTCTTATTATGGCATCCATTGCTGGTGACAAGGGCGCTTCAGGTTCTTCCTTACCAGTTACCAAAACCTGAAATATTTTCCAGGTCAAAATCACAGGTTAAGGTAGAAAAATCAATAAAAACACAAACACAAAAGAAGAGGAAAAAATAAAAAAGAAGGCACACAAGCCAACTATAAGTCTTTCGAACAATAACAGAAAGAAATCTACACAATACTGAAGAAAAGGGAACCGAATCATATAAAACACAATAACCAATCAACAAACCCACACAAGTGTATTAGCAAAGTGCAAACCAAGAAAGCGCCGAATTTACTTATTTACAGGCGTTGTTCAAATATTTAATATGTCAATGGTCGATACCAAAAATAAGTTAGTGGGTGGCAGAGATAGTGAAAGGTTTATAAGAAGATGAACTAGTGAAACACGACTATGAGGAAAGACTTTTCTATCCCAAGAAAATGGTGGCTGGAACACAAGTCACGACTTACCAATCTCATTTCAAACTTTTGACAATCGAAAAAAAAAAATAATGTCTCTTTGTTGAACTTTGTTTTATGGGTAAATGGTTCAAGGAAACAACCAATTGCTGTTTTCAACAGTTAACATTAAGATCTCTCAGGCATGAAAAACAACACATTTTCCGAACATACTACATAAATTTATACCTTAACCTTTTTTTTCTAAAGTAACTCCCACGTGAAACCTTCAGAATAACTTATTCTCTGCTGTCTGATCAAGAACCCATATTGGGCATGCTTAAATGACGGCACCAGCAAAAGGTGAGATATTAGGTGGTTTCTTGACAAACTTGCTATTGGGTGGTAAAGAACCCAATAAACTATTAATGGAAACATCCACCAGTAAAGTTATTACCAATTCCTCATACTTTCAAGTCTAGGAAAATAAATCACAAGTGTTTTCTGGTAAATAAAACCATATCTTCGGGTAAATAAAACATGTAGTTGTATTCAAAAAGAACTTGTCAAGATGTACTCTATCTTCACCTGATAGAAAACACAATCCTTCAACAATAAAAACGAGAAGACAACCCCAGCCATAACATGTGTTAGAAGGTAAGTTCTTTGATAACAACAAGTCATCTCACAAGTCCCAATCACCTAATTTGAAAAATAAAATAAATAAATAAATAAAATTAATCACCCTAACGGCTAACATGCAACAAAAATTTGCCAGAGTATTACATTCTTACTATTACTAAATTTGAAAATCTTAATCTCCATCAGGCATCAAGAATCACGGACAATAGTGAGCATTTTAGGCTCTAAAATTCAATGAAACCAGCAGATATAGTGAGCATTTTAGGCTCTAAAATTCAATGGAACCAGCAGCAAAATGCTAACCACAAAATTAACTAAAGCTTTCTTATCAGTCCATGTTAAGCTTATGTCTTTTATGCAAAAAGGTCCAGTCCCGTGATTCTAAAAATTCACCTAAAGGGGAGGTGATAGGAACCTAAATAATCTCAAAGAAACACAAAAGAATACGGGGTTCCATAAAACAAACACAACATACAATCTGAGATCCCAATGTTAGCTTCCAATTCAGTTAAACAGCTACAAACCCTAAAAAACTATCATGCACGGCATAAGGCATTCAAAAACAAGAAAATTAGAATCTTAAAACCAGGTGTGCCAGTGATAAAGCTCGGAAATATAAATTTTACCAAACCACTAAAAACTGATCCCTAACTACAAAATTCCCCCACCACCATACGCATGTGAATATTCAGTCTTCGTGCAAACAGAGAAAGGGGGTTCAGGTTCATAGAAACAAACATAACATACAATCTAAGATCCCAAATTTAGCTTCCAATTCAGTTTAACAGCTCCAAACCCTAGAAAACTATCATGTACGGCATAAGGCATTCAAACCCAATAAAATTAGAATCTTAAAACCAGGTGTGCCCGTGATAAAGTTCAGAAATCAAAATTTTACCAAACCACTAAAAACTGATCCCTAACTACAAAATTCCCCAACCACCGTAGCATGCGAGTATTAAGTATTCGTGTAAACAGAGAAAGGGAGTTCATAGAATTACAATGCGATCCGGAGAGGTCAATGGGCCGTCCAGCACCCGAATCTTGGCGCGCGTCTCCTCCACTAGCTTCTTAACAATATCTCCTTTCCGCCCAATTATGCCGCCAACCTTCAAAACCGGCACCACTATCCGGAACACGTTGTAGCCTGGCCAGCCCGGCCACTTCGCCTTAATCTCCGCCAATTTGCTCTGCTTCTCGTCGGAGTTCTTGGTCTCAGCCGCTGAGGGAGCTCCAGCTTCCTCGCCACTGTTTTCTGCTGCATCACCGGCGACGAATTGGTCCGAGGTGCTGACGCCGTTGTCTACGGCAGGTTGTGGTGAGGCCATCTACCGGAAGATTAACTCTTGATGATTTTTGGAGCGCGAGGGTTTTTAGAGATTAGGGGCTTTTGGAATGGTATGATAAAGAAGGGACGAAAAGAGAGTGAGGATTTTGGGTGCAATTTAATAAACAAGTTCGCATCTATATATATATAATTACTGGCTAATGAGCATTTAATAAAACCTATTAAATTATACCTATGTGGCAAAATTTCATTTTCCCTCCAAAAACCGTTACTTTTTATTTATTTAACCTTTCATTTAATTATTAGAAAATCAACACACTAATCACTTCAAAATACAAAAATCATTTTAAACTTTTGATTTACTTACAACTGACCAAATAATGTGTTGATTATTTAACGTGTTTAGATGTTATTGTTGTGGTTACGAATTACGATTAAATGAACTTCTCTTGAAAATAAAAAACGTATTTGAAATTCCTCAATAAATAATAATAATTCATAAAAAATACATTCCAAAATATACATTACATCAAATATGATAAAACGCAATTTAAAAAATAAATATTTCAACTCTTTTAAATGTAAATTTGGCCTGCGAAAAGTGCAAGAAAAATTATTAATCATTATATGCATACAAATAATTCATAATACTTTATTTATATCTGTGCAAATGCACAGGTCGAATACTAGTTGTAACATAATTATAAAAGAGCAATAAAATATCAATTAGTACAAAAATAATTTTGAATATTAATACTAATTAATTTGTATCTAATTATTTGTATCTGTATCATCCCCTCCCCCTATATATTAATCCCGAACGCACTGAGCCTATGTGGCTGCTTTTGGTGCTTCGGAATCCTATGTAGCAAAATTACATGCTTCGTTAGGGTAATTTTAATTTAATTCCAAACCAAAAATAATTAGGTTTGAATTAACATAAATATGTTGATTATTTATAGTCATGTTACATGCATTAACTGCATTTTAATATCATTCCTTATTGTAACTATTGAATTGTATATGTATTTTAAAAGTTAATAACTTCTGTATTATTTATCAGTTTTACTTATGTAATATCAGATTAATCTTCTTTTGATAAGTTTCGATTTAACATCCATATTGTATGTATAAAAAAATAATTTATAGTTCTTTATAACAATAATAAAATTATTTTTAATATTAATTAGAAAAATAAAATTATTTATCAACTAATATATTTATATTTCAAGTAGTTATATGATATAAGTTATAAAAACTAATATAATATAACACATGTAAGTCATAAGTAACACATATCATTCTAAAATATATAGTAATATATTCTTTTTGTAAAAAGGTAAACTAAATTTAATATAGTTTTCTCATTAATTTTAAAATTTAAGAATAATTTTTTAACAAGCACCTGTGTAATACACGGGTGTTGTACTAGTAAGAATTATCATTTACCAAAAATATTAACTAAACAAATCGAGAACATTAATTACAATCATATTTTTGCAAAGTTTTATTCAAATTTGCTTAGATATATATTTTTAAATCGCATTTAATGTCTGATTTCGTGGGTTTTTAAAAACCAAATTTCAAAATCGATCACCCAATTTTCAAGTCCTAAAAATCGATAATTGAAATTTCAAAATCAACAGGCATCTAATCATTCCTTAAATGAAGGATTCCATAAATTTGCAGACACTATAGTAAGTTAACGTGCATTATAATTTACCGTATTATAATACTTCTTAATTAAAAATAATCAGTGGTAACATTAATATAGAAATCTCGATTTTCATACCATACAAACTATTTTTTTGCCCAGACCTGGCCCGCGTTTTTGCCTAGTGGACCCGACCTGCCCCGCGACCCGCGATGGGTCTAATAGGTCCCGCCCGACCTGCTGGACCCATGCTTAACCCGTCCCGGCCTAGTAGCCACCTAAATAATTTTTTATTCGTTAAGCATTACACATTGCACAAAAAAATTTAATAATAATACAATTTTTACAAGCTTGAGTGGCACTAAAAAACAATCTTAGAATTCTAAATACAACAATTCAACAAATAACATAATAAGTCTTACAATCCAAAAATCAAAATACAAATATCCAAACATTATATAATATATATAATTTATATATAAATGCGAAGATACTCATAACCTACTTCCTAATTTCACTTATATATTATATATAATTTATAAAAAATAAATAAAGACGATTAGGGCTAGAAAAAGGATCCGGACCTGGTTCGCTTAGTTAACTGGTCAGCCATTTTAGAAACGGTCCAAGTTTGGACCGCCCCAAATGCTCCGGGTCAGGCCAGTTCGGGCATGGTTTTGTCATAAGTTCATAACCGCTCCACTCCTGCCGTCTGCCCGTCTCCTCTGTCCTCTCGTCTCCAAATTATCACCGTCCCCAAATCGCCTCCACCAGTCCGCCGTCTCCAAATCGTTGCTCCGCGCCTCCGCCCGTCCGCCGTCTCCAAATCGCTGCTCCGCGCCTCCGCCCGTCCGTCGTTCCCAAGTCGCTGCTCCGCGCCTCCGATCGACTGTTAACAGCAAGGAGGTAAAGTTTTTATTTTTCTCATTTTTTGTTAAAAAAATTATGTTTCTCATCCTTGAGATTCTTATATCAGTGTCTATTCACTTTTATCTGTTAATTGAAAGATGTTAGTGTAGCTCAAATTCTCCTTCGTTTTTCCTCCTTTCCACTTGTACCATATGTTCTCAAATCCTCGTGCTGCGGGACGGGGATTCGGGGCCTGAGGGTGAGGGACTGAGGGTGAAGGGACGGGACTGAGGGTGGTTAGAGATGAGGGTGAGGGTGAAAGTGAGTGTGAGATTCGGGTAATCGGGTAAAAATAACCCGATCGGCTGCACAAATTTGGGTACCCCATTGCCCGACGGGTAAAACCGAACCCAGTGGTGGATAATCAGGTAACGGGCCAAGTGGGGGTACATTTTTTAGCAGGCGGGTCGGGTACATGTATGCCAAAACCTGTACCCAACCCGACCCATTTACATCCCTGAGCATCACATCGACCGCTGGCATTACCACGTACTGTTGCCGGTGACATTGAGCAATGATACACTGCACAATGTAATTTAGTGCCCCAACTTTTTTTTTAGATCTGGCGGTGAGCTTGTGTGGAGTTGAGAGTGACAGGTGGCCAGGAACCTGCCGGCTATATATGAGGGATAGGTTTGTAAGAAGAGTGATGTCTTGTGCAATTTTGGGCCTAGGGTTTCATTCAAATTTCTTCACTTTTTCCCGGCTGCATTTGACATGTCTATTTCGAAACTGCATTTCGCAGAAATTGATGCTTTATAGGCTCGAATTCCTTATTTAATAATATGCTAACCAATATTTAATTTTTTTTTTTTTATATATATTTATACAGTTTTGAAGGAAAATTCGTATTCTTCAGAAGGTGAAATATCTAGGAACATTGGATGCTCAAAGAACACCATCCAATGTTTTAAAATTCACAATTTTTAAATTTTAAGTTTATGTATCTGCCTTGTTCGATGAAATTCTTCAATGAAAAATTCAAAGCATTTTGGCTATTAGCTCCCTCACACTGGCGTGATCTGGATATTACGTTTATGGTGTTGATTGTCTAAGTTTTGAACATATGATAGGCTCACTAATGACATTTCTTATGCACTAACAGAAATTCTTGCTGTAAATGGATGACGAAAAGAGGCCTGGGCTGGCATGTTTGCTGGAAACTCTGCCTGCAGTTGAGTTTGGATGCATATATGGCTCATCCCTCCATCCAAACAATTCCGACAAGGTGTCATCCGTTTTCCTTTTCTTAACTTTTTTTTTTAATCTTACGACTGAGCAGGTATATTTATGGTCAAAACAGCATAATGAATCTTCTCGTGTTTATTATTATTATTATTATTATTATTATTATTATTATTATTATTATTATTATTATTATTATTATTATTATTATTATTATTATTATTGGATATTGCAGACATCTATGGTAGATTACATTCTTGGTGTAGCTGATCCTGAGCAATGGCATGCTGAGGTAATTGTTGTTTAAATCAAATTCCTGCCTTTTCCATTTGTCAAGTGGTGGAACGTGTGAATTGGAAACTGATGACGCTGATGGCCTTTGGTATCAAGAATCTGAAAATGAACCGGAATCATTACGCATCGTGGATTATTCAGCTTGGCGGAGCAAGGCTGGTGCTATTTCATGTCTTTTCTTTCTTACATATTAAAGTTTTTCAATATCTAACTTCAGAGCTTGCAGATTACTGGTGTGGCAGAAAATATTGGTGTCGGAGTACATTTCAATCCGTTTGTTTCGCACCAGAATCAGGTAATTACATTGTCATGTATGTCGGTGATCTCCATTTGGTGTTTATGTCATTGTTTGCAGAATTTTTTTACTTGACATGACGTACTCTTCCAGATGTTCAAGTATGGTGTTGTTCGGGCGCGTGATCTTGTTCAGGACATTCTGGAATGGGAAAGGTTTTACCTTAGTGGTCGTTTGCAAAAGCCTGTAAGTTTAATCTCTTGTGAAGTTGATTGTTGCCTTGTTGGTTATCTTTGGGTTTTTTTT